ATGGTAGCCAACATGATATCCAACGATCGATAGCGGTCATGGAACTAGAAGAAGAAGAAGTTTTTTACTTGAATTAGTGATTTGAGTTAAGTTTTGTAAAATTTGCAGTGGTGAGTGTTGATATTATTCTATAGTAATGTATATAAGTTTTGAATTTGTTTAATTTCGACTGCAATTTTTTCAGATGGATAAATGTACTGTTAAGCAAATTTCTTAAAAAAGAGAGAAACGTCATGTTACGTCGGTTCGGAAGGATTAGTGTGGCCCCACTGCTTTCAGTCACCCCTGAAGACAAGTTTTAAAGAATTTGGCTATAAAGCCTAGAAGAGTCATCCATAGAGATATAAGGAATAAATGGAAGCAAGCAGGGTGTTCAGCCTCGGTGATGGTGTATCCACCTCAGTAAGGATCTGATCTGTAATGAGTGACAAAAGAATTGGACGTTTATGTGTGACAGAAGGAACCATGCAACAGCACCGGTATAAAAGAGTCTTGCATGTGAGATTGGTTCTTTTATATGAGCAAATGGTTTGGTAATCGTCGCAGGGTCTTTGCGTAAAATGGAGCACCTTGCCAGACAGTTATAATTTAATATAAAACAAAACAAAATTTTGCTAAGTGAGTATAATAATATGAGCAGGGACGGCACTCTTAAAACAACAAATAGTTTTTTCTGTTAAATATAAACGGTTCACCAGTTCTTGGACTACAAAAGTACGTATCAAAACATCTGCCAAAAAACTTAACGCAACAAATCTAAAGCTAGTCAGTTAGAAACAAAATTTATAAATAGTAAACAATAAAAAATAAATACCATCCTTTTTTTCAAATATGTCGAAAAATGGTACAAGATACATATCTTCATCGATCAGACGGCAGTATTCTTTCAGTCTCTAACTAAAAGTCTAGGCTTGAACCAAACACTGCTATTGATTTCTAGTTTGAATACTTATAGGATATTGTGCAGTTTAGGACAAGTAAGAATACCGCCATTTGAACGATCACATTTTTACAAATTTTTTAAACTAAATTACGTTTTATAAACAATCTAATTTCCCAACCAGGATAAAGGTAACTCTATGTGTCGAGAGATCGAGTGAGAGATTCATAAACGTCATGATTAGGAGGAATTTTTAAAGATTAGCTACTGCATAGATATAATTGTTTATTTTTCTAGATTATTGCGAAAAAATTACGACTACATATTACTTAAATAAATGACAAATTCATTAAACGCTAGCTTATATAATCTATGGTAACGAAACGTTGTAATTACAGCTTATAAATTCTGTCACACTTAACAAGTACGTAGATGAAACACATATCTAGTTGAGAAATTAGATACCCATTTTTAAGATAAATTTTTGTCTATATCTTGGTAAAGAATGCCGAATATTTTCAATTTAGTACATAATAGTATTTCTTTAACATTTAAAACAGCTGACATCAAACCTCCCCTATCGCTACCTCGCTCTGGTCTTCCATTCAGGTCACACTAATCGAAGAATTTGCTCATAGAATCTAAGAACATTTGGTGTCAGTCCGCAATTCCAATTCAATTTCTGTCCTACTCGAACAAATCACCATAAAATAAATTTCGAAAAATTCGGATTCATAAACCAAGCATCATCCCAGCAGCCAGTAAGATGAAAAAACTCTTCAATTGTCCCTACAAAAGAAACGTCCATACACAGAACAATTTTGACTCCGTTTCTGCCCGAGTCCAGCATTATATCCATACAGGCCACAAAATATATTTTGAAAATTCCAGAATTTTAACTCATTCATTTTTACTGACCAGGGATCACCTGAGAAGTCATTAAGATGTACAATCGTTTCGACTGTCTTAACAAGAGAAATGACGGTATCCGGTTACTTACAACAATAAAATATCGTCCGTTGCTTCGGTTAATCCAGTTTCTGAAGAAACTTTGTGCTACTGACTCACCCAATTTCCTGGTTACGGTATAAAAGTGTACCAACGCGGTATAATAAGAAATCCAGTATTGAAGTATTATAGTGAACCAGGTCCTGAACAGATTCGGGAACTGGAACAGATTCTTGTCTCAAAATAAGTCGTAATCAAACCTCCAGAAAGGAAGTCGAAAGCTTGAAATGTCCAAAATAACAAAAGTTTTTAAAGGAAGTCGAAAGCTTGAAATGTCCAAAATAACAAAAGTTTTTAAAATTGATACAAGCTGTTTTAAACGTTTTTTAGTGTAGCTGTTATTTTCAATTTAAATTTATGATTTGAAAATATTCAGGACGTTTTATTATTTCGTGTTTGAAAGCACTAGGACAAATCATAATAAAAAATTTAAAAGGCAATTCATGTAACAAATATTCCGTAAATAGTATTGGCAGCACAACATATAAATTATATAACAAAAATGCTGGCATATTTACTCTACACGCAATACAGCTGGTTTAGATCAGAATATAAAATGAACATTCCGAAAACCATGTATTAATAATGAATAAAGATGACAATGAAAAACAATGTGATGTTTACAGCAGTTTAAAAAAAACAAAATTTATTGAAATGGAAAAATGTAAAACGAATGTTTAAAAGTTTAAGAGTGTCAAAGGTAATAGATAAAATAGGGAGCGCTGTATAAAATAAACAAATACGAGGGTGGTTTGTAATTAATCTAGTTTTCGATAGATGGCGTTAGGTGAGAACGAATTGCTGTCGGTTTTGACATCAGTCATCCTAGGTGATGTCTGCCAAAATTTCAAGCACAAACAGAAATCGAAGCCGAACTAGATCATATTTAAGGCAAATCTGCACTGTCATTAAAAACCCAAAATTGTGAAGTGCTTAATTTGTTCGTGATCGTAAGAGAGTATTTGATTATGAATGTGCAGATGCCCTAGAAGTCGTTGTTATCTCAGAAATAATCAACTAAATCCAAACATGATAAAAGCAGATCGTAGAATAAAAATTAGCGAGATAGCAAAGGCTGTAAATATGGCAACTGAGGGTCTATATAACAGCATACATTTGGATACAAAAAAGCTAACAGCGCCTTGAGTGCCGCATATGCTGACTGTCGACCAAAAACGGATATGTGTATTAAATTGGAGAATCTGTTAAAATCAATACAAAGGATAGTCCGTTCACTAAGCTTGAGAACATTTTGACAGATTCGTTTTAGGAAATGTATAACACAAAAATTACAAGCTCTCCTAAACTTACTGTTGCAAACATATTTCTTTGAAAGGGGAAGAATAGTCTTGAATAATTACGAATGTTGGTGATCACCATGGCAATCTTTATCTTGTCTGCAGCAGTGCGGAAAATCTGCACAGATGTTGTATTGAAACAGATTCTGAGGTTCTTTAAATAAGATGTTATTCTTCCTGGACCTCGTTTTCCAAATATTTTTCCTCTCAGGATGGCTTGAAGAAGAGCATATCTGGATCTATTTCGCATAATATGTCCGAAGAATTGTAACTTTCGAGATTTGATGGTGGTCAGTACCTCTCGGTTCTTATTCATTCTTCTGAGGACCTCCTCATTTGTGACTCGGTCAGTCCACGGGATCTTAAATATCCTACGATGTAGCCACATCTCAAATGCTTCCTGTTTCCTGCACACAGCTTCGTTCAAGGTCCACGATTCAACACCATAAAAAAGGACAGAGGATACGTAGCATAGCAGCATTCTTACTTTTGTAACAAGAGAGACCGGTCGTACTGCGGTCAATTGGCTTATTGTATATCTTCCATCACTCCATGATACCCTTTCAAGAATTCTGGATCCCAGTACCAGCTTATACAGATTTAGTGGATTGGTGCCATATATTTTTGGAGTTACTTGGTTGTCTCCAAAAGTGTTTGCCGCCGGCGATTTAATATCTCGTAGTCATGCGATATGGTTGACAACACAAATGCTTGATTGGTTGTATCGTAATTTCCAGCCACCTCCAGTAAAAATTTGTAAAACGTAGCAAAAAAAAATTATGAAATTTACTAGACAGTTGGGACTAGAATCGGTGAACTGAGTGTATCATTAGCATAATCAACAACTGTAGATGGTCTAAGTTACCAATATTTTTTGCGAACTATCGATAGCTTTCAACATAGACATTTAATACAAATAGACTGAGCGATTCAATAAAGGTCCGATCCCCCAGTGCGACAGAGAAAACTGATGCAAAGCAGTCTCTATAGCTCTTTCTAAAGGACCGGGTTTATCGACCACATAACCTTCCCATTGGTTGGTCGTTTAGGAGTTTCCACGTGGGTTACGATTTGCAATAAGATTGATACAGTTACTAACTAGATTCCAGATTCAAAAAGAATAGGTTTCAAAATAAGCAGAAGCTGCTGCCAGACTTTTAGAACAAGAAATGTACTCAATTATTTAAAAACGGCAGAAGAATTCACTTTCAGGGGAAATTGTCAAAACGTCTGCTACCGCAGTTGGATCTTCATTTCTTTTTGGACTGGGAAAACGGATTGAAGAAAAAGTGAAATCAGTTGCAGCTGCTGTTATAATCAGAAGACACAGTATCTGAAAAAATAACAAAAATGGTGCGTTTTCTTACTTATAATAGATTAATATCGAATCACCCTTTTATTTTCATATTTTACAATATATAGACGGATATGAAATGAAAAGTAAATTTCTGGTAGCTGCTATGTCACCGTAAACTAAAAAACAAACTTAAAAAAAGTTCTTCTACGGCGGATTTTCATTTTAAATTCACATGATATTTTAACAAATTAATTTTATTTGATTTATATCTGCGAAAATGTATTACATGAATTGCTTTTTTCCAAATATCAACATTAAACTAATGATCTGTTAACTCCTCTTCTCTAATCAATTCCTGCGTTTATTCAAAAACGAGAAAAAACAAATTCATTTTTAAACTAATTGTGTAAATGTTATAAAAAATTCTTAAAATACTAAAAACAATTCACAATCTAAGCTCAATATTCCGTTTAAAATATTCGAGGCACGTTTTGGAATGTTCAAGTCATCGAGATACTTACTCACACGCCAACTTGCTATCAAAGCTACTCAGAGCGATCGCGAAAGCTTGTAGTGCACATAAAGGATACCTGTAATACATTATGTTATTAGAAGTGTATAAATGTTTGTACAGAAAAAATAATATAATTATTACCAGGAATACACAGATACTGTTATAACTAGAGAGCGGAATATATTCAAAGTGCTTATAGATGCATATATTGCATATTTTTGGTCATTTCAAACAACATTACATATGTACGCTAAACACGATGTGCCGTTCCCGTTATAAAAAACTGGTACAACTCTTATAATCAAAAATCGTGTTTTTTTAGTTGTGTACGTTGATCTTGTCACATGTATCATTCTGATTTCTATGGCAGCGTTGCCAGTTCAACGAAAATATTATATTAAACCAGCTAAAAGCAAGGTTGTGCGACTCACCAGCAATTTTGAGTATACTAAAAACTAAAACATTATCGAGCATTCTCGATCAGTCAGTCACATTAAATTTGTTTAAACATGCATCTTAAAAAATTCTCATATTAATTTTGTAATTTTCCATCATCTCAATTAAGTACCCATACATTGATTTGTGTTTTATAACAATTTATGTAAATATTTCAATTCAAAAATAATGACAGATAATCAATCTGGACAAACTTCAAATTATTATAATAAAACATTACAATGAGATGTTGGATTGTAACTGTTACGTTTTGAAAAGCGTTTTTTCGCACCGAATATTTTCTAGTATATAATACATAGGATAAAGTATAATGATAGTTTTTTACATTTTTTATCGTTCTTGTAATAAATAATAAATTAATCTTGGTAGTTTGCCTGTTACAAAACTTATTGACACAGAATACAGTTCGAGTTCGGTAGGTAATTAAAGTATAAAATTCTAGTAGATGCTTTCAAATGTTCCCTGTGCCAATACCCTAGGTTTAAAGATCCATCCAAGAGATAATATCTCAACCCTATCTTTGCTTATTTAATTTCTTAGATTCAGTTTTTTTTGTAATGATAAAAATAATACCTATCTAAAAATTTTATACATTTTTAAACGTTATTTTTTTATTTAGATTTAGTGCAATTCCGTTATCTATAATGGCAACAACGAATTGATTTCTGAACACACGTTTACATTGGAAAAAAAGTGTACCAGTTTTATATGACGGGAAGTGTACTCCGCATATTCTAAAAATAAATTTTATAAAAGTTCAAAATTTCTTCTCTTAGTTGGAATTTTATAAATTGGATTTGAACGAGCTCATTGTCTCTGAATTTAATAACTATGGATTTTCCAAGAAAAATATTATTTTATTACGTAGCAAGTCGTAGTAACTCTGTCTGCTTTAAAGTGTCTAATTCTCTCTCTCTCTTTTCAATCCTGACCCCCCAGGGGGAGTGTAGTGATCGACGTGATGTCGTGTATTGTCCGTCTCCAGAGATCTCTGTCTCTTGTCATTTCTTTTAATTCATGCATAGGTCTTTGGCTTATTCCTGTAATTTGATCTATCCATCTTGTTGGGGATCTTCCTCGTGATCTTCGGCCTTCTACCTTTCCTTGTATTATGAGTCTTTCCATGTTTTCTGTGTTTGCTCTCATAACATGCCCAAAATATTTTAATTGTTGGAGATGGACTTTACTAGAGAGTCGTTGGCTAACTTTTAGCTCTCTTAAAATTGAATTATTTGTTCTACGGTCGGTCCAAGGAATTCGTAACATTCGTCTCCAACAGAACATTTCAGTGGCGTCTATCTTCCTTCTCTCCGATTGTCTCAGAGTCCAAGATTCACATCCGTAGGTCAGTATTGGGAATATTAAGCAGTTGATCAACCTCATCTTTATCGCTCTTGAAATTTGACAGTCCTTCCATATTTTGGTCATTTTTGCTGTGGCAACTTTTGCTAGATCAGATCTACGTTTAATCTCTTCTTGTAATGACCCTGTGTTTGTGATTAATGATCCCAGATATAGGTATGAGCTCACAACCTCGAACCGGTCAATTGTGGTTATGTGTTAATGATTGTTGTGTAGTCTGTCCACTATCATGATCTTTGTCTTTGATATGTTTAATTGCAGACCAAATATTTGACTTTCGTTTTCGATCAGTCGTATAAGTTCTATCAGCTCTGCTTGACTATTTGCAAGAAGGGATGTGTCATCTGCGAAACGTAGGTTGTTTAGTTTATGACCATTTATTGAGATGCCCTTTTCCCATCCTTCAAGTGCTCTTCGCATAATATACTCCCCATATATGTTGAATAATTGTGGAGATAGTATACATCCTTGTCTGACACCCCGTTCTGGATGAAATTCGTTCGAAAGTGTGTCAAGTACTTTAACTGATCCAGTAGTGTGTTCATATAGTTCGGTTATAAGCGTAATTAGATGTTGTGGTACGCCTACTTCTTTTAGTATTCGCCATAAGTGTCTCCACTTGACCCTGTCAAACGCTTTACGGTAATCTATAAAACAGATGTATAGTGGGATGTTGAATTCCCTAGATTTCTCGATTATCTGTCTTATATTCAGCAGGTGTTCTCGAGTGCCTCTATCTTTGGTAAATCCAGTTTGCTCTTGTGGAATTTCTCTTTGAAGGAATGTTTTCAGTCTCTCATTGATTATATGTAGCATTATCTTGCTGGCATGGGATATAAGAGAGATAGTTTTATAATTGTCGCATTTATGGAAGCTGCCTTTTTTATGTATGGTCGTTATTGTAGATTTTGTCCAGTCTTCAGGCCATTGTTTGGAATGCCATATTTGGTTACAGAGTAGATGAAGTAACTTCACGCCGGTTTCTTCTGTGGCTAATTATTTTGTCGGTAAATATTTATTTAAAGTAAACGCTATATCGTGTTTAGTATTTTTGAAGTGCTTGGTAGATATTAAATTTAAATATGTCTACCAAATAAAAAACGGATTGGATAAAGTGTTTTCTCTAGTTAATGCTAAGTGAAGATAAAGTATTTGACAAGGAAAAAATATCGTAAGTTACATTCATTTCGACATTCCATTTCAGAAATAAGGTAGTGACAATTAAAAGTATCGTGTCCCACAAAAGAAATTTTTCAGGAAAAAGTAATTTTATTGGACTAATTTGGTTTTACTTATTTAAAGACGGACATAGAGAGAAGCATCAAAATACAAAAATTCATCAAATTGTAGACAATTCCACTTTTATTCATTAGTTCTTTTTGGTGCTTGAATATTTTTTTCTGCAGATTTTCTGTGAGAAGTTTAAAGTCGACCAACATTCAAAAAGTGCTACTCATAAGTTGACGCTAAAAAAATTGCATTAAGACCCGTTCAGCAGTCGACTCATACAAGTGTAAAGCTCTGTTAGCAGCAAACATTCCGTTACAAAATTGCAAAATAGGCAATTTTTGCAAAAAAATTGCAATAAGTTGAATATTCCTAATGAGGGAATACTAAAAATGGGCAATATGTGAATGCATTGTATGACGGAGTAATTGAGGAAATTAGGAAATTAGAGTTTCTTTAGCCCTTAACCGAAAAGGTCACTTTTTTGGACATAGTTGAAAAAGTCGCGGTTCACAGACGAATATATATAATCCTTGTATATTTTTATCATTTTAATTTTAATATAAAATGACAAAAAATGACCTTGAACGTTCTAAATGTAGAGAATAAAATATTTATTGTTAAAATATCTCTAATTTAGTAAAGAATACAGTAAACTGAAAGTAATTACATTTGGTAAAAAAAAAATGTAACATTATGAAAGATTGTCAAATTGTGTCTATAAAAACTAGAAACTAAATGTCATTAAAAGTGACTGTCCCAAAATTGACGTTTAAACACGTTTTTTATCAAAATCACTTTGTTACATACGGTATTTGTCATACATTTGAGTATTGATTGAACTAAAATAACGGTATGATTTTAATTTTTTTCTACATTTTTCGGTTGTCAAACTGTCAAAATCAGCAAAAAAATGCAATAAATTTTGTGTTTAAACTGCTGCCTGCCATTCGATCATTTCTTTATAGAACTTGTGTTTTTTAGTTCATACTATAGTTAAAAGTATACTAAACAGAAATCTTTGTGAGCTTCATGTTTCAGATAATTCCTTAGTACAAACTTATAGTCGCTGTCAATTTTGGGACAGTACGGGAAATACGCCATTTTGAATTTATAAGATGTTGAAAATTAATAAAAAAAATTGTTTGCATATTTTAAAAGTGCAATTATTAATTTAAAAATTTAGAACCTTATATACCATAAAAATCACACAATAAATAGTTTTTTTCGAAATTGGCACATGATAAGGGTCCCTTAAGTCTATGAAGTAAATATACATCATCATTGGCTCCACAACCCATGGTGGGTCTTGGCCTGCTCAAGGATAAGTCTTCATTTTCTCATATTCTTCGCCTTAGCTTTCCAGTTTCGTAATCCCAACATTCTCAAGTCTTCCTCACCTGATCCTTAAATTGTGCTCTGGGTCTGCCCAGGGTCACTCCATTTATTCTTGGATTATAAATATGTTTGGGCGGCTCCATCTCATTTATTCTTTCTATGTGACCTAACCATCGTAGCCGGTTTATTTTGATGGACCTAATAATATCAGGTTTGTCATACAGGCGGTAAAGTTCGAAATTATAGCGTCTTCGCCATAATCCGCCCTCCAGTACTCCTCCATAGATGTGCCGGAGGATTTTACGTTCAAAGCATCTTAAACGTTTTTCATTGCTCTTTGTCATCATCCATGTTTCCGACACGTAGGTGATGATGGGCTTGATAAGAGTTCTGTATATCACTAGTGTCGTTCTTGTTGTAACTAGGCTTGTTTTAAAAAAAAATTAATCCATAATAGGCTCTATTTGCCAGATATATCCGTCTGTTAATTTCTGCACTTACTGCATTATTCTGATTAATTTGTGAGCCTAGGTATATAAACTCTCTTACTCCTTCGAAAGTATATGTTCCGATCGTTAGATCTTCGAGTTGTGCTGCTTGTATATAATTTGATACTTTCATATATTTCGTCTTACTAGTGTTAACCTCTAGTCCCATTCTTTTTGTTGCTGCTTCAAGCGCATTAAATGATTC